TTAAGTGCATTTGCAAATTCATTTGAACAATAACCAATTCAATAATCAATGACCATATTCAATAGTGAAATTGCAGTAGATAGTTCTACAGAGATGTCCTGCTATGTTTTGCTGACAACATTTACACTGCATGCGATATTTCACACCTAAAATTTATCATAACTAAAAAAACCCATATTTTTCTATTTGTGTTTCCACTTTATATCACACTGCAAGAAAAGACGCAGACATTTCTGAAATTTCTTAAGGAGCTTCTGGAATTCCCGTAATCTCATATTTAATGGCTTTGACACATTCAATTCTGCACTCCCATCCAGTCTCTCAAAAAGGCTTTACAGTGAGGCATTTAACATGTTTTCTGTCCAATACATGCCATCGTTCAAGAGAGGCTGAAAAGAAAACATGTATGCGCTGGACTTTACCAAAATGTGGATTCCAGGCAACTTGTTACACTGGTAAAAAACTACTAAATTTAGGCTATGACATCCACAGGGCACATAAAAGGCCCATGGATTGTATATTATTATCCATGCCTGCAATCCTTCATTGTTTTCCTTCACATTGGAAACCTTGTCGTAGCTCTGGTCCCTACATTTGGAAACCTTGTCGTAGCTCTGGTCCCTACATTTGGAAACCTTGTCGTAGCTCTGGTCCCTACATTTGGAAACCTTGTCGTAGCTCTGGTCCCTACATTTGGAAACCTTGTCGTAGCTCTGGTCCCTACATTTGGAAACCTTGTCGTAGCTCTGGTCCCTACATTTGTGTAAGTTTAGGTTGCTCCCTTAAAAAAAAAAAAAATAAATGTTAAATTATACTTTGATACAATTCTTTACCTGTAGTTTTTATAACAGTCTTAGAACTAAGAAAATGTTATTTTTTGTTGCCTTCTAGATCTAAAAATCTGATGGTAAATAACAGCTGCGCCACCTGACTAATATCTAGTGACTAATATCTGGTGACTAATTTTTGGTGACTAATGTCCGGTGATTAATATCTGGCGACTAATATCTGGTGACTAATATCTGGTGACTAATATCTGGTGACTAATATCTGTTGACTAATATCTGGTGACTAATATCTGGTGACTAATATCTTTTGACTAATATCTGGTGACTAATATCTGGTGACTAATATCTGGTGACTAATATCTGGTGACTAATATCTGGTGACTAATATCTGGTCGGACGTCTAATATGAAGCTGAAATATTTGCCTGATCCAGCTCGGTTAATACTTTTTTTAGTGAGCAACATGTCCAAACAGATGAACTATTTCCTTCTGAACATTTTGTTCCACAATAGGGAACGTGAGTTTCTTTAGACGCAAATCGATGTTGTTGTTCCCCTCATTGTTCAATCAAGTTTTCCCAAGTAGCTCAACAAAACCTAAAAAATCCCCACCCTGTGGTGTAAATAATGTGTCCAAAGTTCCTCTTAAAATCCAAATTTCATTCAGCTAAATATTGAGTGGTGCTCACTAGAATAAACTTTCTTATACTTTACGATATTGTTTGCTTGTGACTGAAGCTCCTTATCCATAGTTTTATTAGTCTGTAACGGCAGTCATGTTTCAAACCATTTCTTTAGACATTCTTTTAGACATTAACACGACGAGACCTAATGGCAGCAGCACAAGTGATTTTTTTTTAACCCATTGAAGCGCCGATGAAAGTACTATCTGCGGATAGGAACTACAACGGAAATAATACATCATCTCAAGCGGCTTATACCAAACGTCATCGTCAGACTTAGCGAAGTCGACGAAAACGAAATAGTAGAGAAAAGAGATAATAGTTCTTACGGGACTCTCACAGGACTTCGGGTAGGAAGAAGAGTACAGTAAATATCTATAGCTGACAGCAGGTTTAAGTAGTCGGGGTGTGTAGGCTGTCACTGTAAAGCGCGACCCAAAAATCCAAAAAAAATTAAACGAGATTTCTAACACCAGTGATCTGAATTTAATGGAGAGGTGCTAAGATCCAGCAACCAAGTCAATGAATAGGCCATGTGCTCGTCTCCATTGAAGTGAGCTACAGCAACCAAGTCAATGAATAGGCCATGTGCTCGTCTCCATTGAAGTGAGCTCCAGCAACCAAGTCAATGACTAGGCCATGTGCTCGTCTCCATTGAAGTGAGCTAATACCGCGCATCATCAAAGTACCGTTAGTAAAATTCAGGGAGGCATCCAGTGTACTTTCTCTCAGAATGACTCACGAACCTGGTGCCCATTTTATTCCTTCTAGCAACATCCCCTAATTTGCCGTTAACACCCAAATGAATTGAGGGGTCAGAACAAGGTGACTCAAATCTAAAACCAATCCAGACCTTACTCTATCCATCCCTGCTTAATTAACTTGTCTAGCCCCCTGGAAGGTGATCAACTCAACCCTCAGTGCATAAATAATAGATTTCCATAATCAAGACCCCAAACCTAACCTCAGTCCAGTCTTCAACTCATGCCGAAGTTATGGACTTAAACCAAAACCATGTATGGATCTCATTTTTACCCCATGTTCAGGAAACAACTATCCCCAGTCATGTGCTCCACTCTAACCCCTGGGACTTAAAACTACCCTCAGTCCATCTCTCAACCCTACCCCAAGTCCATTTCTCAACTGTTCCGTCAGTCCATTTTAATAATGGGGCGCTACCCTCAGTCTATTTCTCAACTCCAGACCATTGCTCAATTCTACCCTTAGGCCCTTTCTCAACTCTATCCCCGTCCATTGCTCAACTCTATCCACAGTCCTATGCTTAACTCTACCCCCAAAAATTGCTCATTTACCCCTCGTCCATTTATCAACTCTACATCCGTCTGTTGAACGAATGTAGCTTGTAACTTTGCTCAACTTTACACCTATCCTTTGCTCCACTCTACATGTTGTGTGTGAAATTGTGCTTCTAGATGTAATGTTATTATAAAAAGCTGCTTTGAGGTAACTTTGTTATTATATAATAATAATAATAATAAAATAAAAAAAAGAAAGTTCTATTTATACAAAAAGTATCGCTGCACCCATAGCAAAGCCTGCTATTTCTTTCAAGCTTCTTAAGATCTCCCATAAAATAAAACTGAGTACACAGTATTTATCAATGTATCACGACTGCTAATGTTGTAGCCACCTAAAATTATTGTATTGCTAACTCTAACACAGAAGAAAATATTGCACACCAAACGCACTTGCGATAATTTTTTTAGTTGAAAGGTGTCGGATTTAGCGCATTTATCGGGAATTTAAAAAAAAAAAAAGTAACTATTTGGTAAAGTTGTCTGTATGCACCTCTGTTCTCTGTATACAGTTCAATCCGTAGCAAAAGTAATAAACAACAACAAACAAACAACAACAAAAACAAAACAACAACAACTGACTTTGGATGGCAACACATCTAAGAGAAGGAAACTCTGAAATGAAACTCGGATTGAGTCCCCTAGGCAGTTTGATAATGACACATTGAAAATTCCAAGTCCTACGACGTAGAGCGCATAAAGAGCTCAGCGAAGCACACCAGACACGCTGCTTGCCATCTATTGACAGTCTCCTGCATCCTGAACTGCTTCCAGGCATCTTGATAGTTTTCTCCTGCATGAACTTCGGGTGACCCCCACGTTGGGCAACACGATGCGTGCGGCCTACTTAAGAATGTTCTCCCTTGACGTTGATGACTTGTAAACACCGCTTTCGTTGGATTCTGACAGAGCGGACGAGAGGCCCTAGGTGCAGATACACTGCGTCTGGACCCTGTCTGGAAAAAAGACTTTTAAAATGCGAGGCAAGAGAGCGAAATTAAAATATTGACTCACTGTACACCATATTTACTTTGTGTGTGTGCACCTTTCCAACATCGTCACGGAGACTTTATTTGGCATAGGCAAATTAGGCGACCGCCTAGGGCCCCACTGCCGTTGTGACACAGCCGGGCGCTTTCTGTTTTTCGCTTACAACTTGCAAGTCCATATATTTTAGAAGCACACATTTTCTCCAGTGGCGGAATTATCATTATGGGTAGAGGTTACACGCAAGCAGCAAAGAGGAAACGGCGACGAAGGTTAATGGAGGTGCCGCAGTGGAGTTCTTTTTTCTCCTCAGCTCCGGGGGAGCTCCAAGACCCCCCCCCCCCTTTTTTTTGGCCCCCCAAAATCCTAAGTACGGCTCTGATTATACCTGTTCATTTTTGTAAAGCTATACGTTTATAAGAGTTTTCTTGTATTTGATTTGATTTGGTATTGCTTAAGTTAGCTTTAATATATTATTATTTGTACTCAGCCCTAGTTTGAGTATCGTTCTTTATCCTGTATTTAATTAATGGTATATTCCCTTTGTTGTGCACTGTTTGTCAACGAGCCATATTTTAAAATAAGAAATTAAATTCTCTACACTTTACAAAGGTACGTAACATGACTATGACTAAGTCTTGCCAGTGGAACAAATAGGCAAGGGCGAGAGAGTGAGGCTGAAGCATTTGAGCAACTCTCAATTCACGTTCAACAAAGTATAGCTCACTTCAAGGCTACTACTTAAAACGAAAATTTCCTTGGTAAACTTGCGAAGAACGAACAATAAAAAAGAAATAATAATTATATGTATTCCCTTGATCGCTGAGCCCTAGGCCATGACTTAGGTTGGTGTTAGGGGAAATCCTGCCCCGATTTTAATGATGAATCAGCGCCGCTGGTGGTGTTGCCAGATGTGGAGACCTTAAAAAGAAATCTAGGCAAAGATATCAGACCAAGTGGTGCTGCCAGATGTGGAGACATAAAAAAACCCACCTAGGCAAAGATATCAAACTAGGCTGTGTAACAGATCGTAACCCTCTAAGATATGGATGCCACAGAATGGTTGTTACGGAGGAGGGCTCCGGTCCCTAAGTATCACAAACTGTTTTGTTGTAGTAGTGGTCAGTTAAGGACTGCTCCTCTCTGGGATTTATATTTTGAGTATCTAGGTTTTGGGACAGAAAAAGCACAACGTAGATTTGAATCAAAATGTAACAACTCAAACTCCATGTGTCAAGATAATGTAATAGTGTGTGTTTATTTTAGATGTAAAAAACCTCCTCTGTTGGTCCCGCCAACTTTCAACAATATTTTTGTATCGCTATAGCTAAGACTGTTTCATAACTGTTCAAGAGTATCGTCTTAACTACTTCTATATCAACTGGTCAACTATCGTCTCCTGATCTCTTGTAACCTTCGAACTTTCCTCTTTCATTATTTCACTTTCAACTGCTTTTTCCTAACTCTTTCCCACTCCTATTAACATTGCCTCCCTACCACCACAGGGGGCCCACGAATGTCATCTATGAACACATCCCTAGGCCCGAAACATAAAATTATGTTATAAAAGAAACAATCTCTTCTATCTTAAAGATGTGAGAATCCATTAAACGTAACCTCCCCATAACAGCAATTCCGTACGCCATGTAAGTTACTTGAACAACATTGGAGCTTTGTCCTGTACCCCCGCGCCAGTCTTTAGTGACAAACGAAGAGTTGTTTGAAGGTGACTGAACAATTTGAAATCTAATCAACTATTGATCGCTGAGCAGGTACGCTTAAACCACTTTTTGCATTCCACTCACATTACAAGTCGCGTTTGTGATTTGTTTAGTTAAACGTGTATCTCCATTGCGCAGAGGACCTCAAACACCAATGACGACCCCGCAGTGGACCGTGCCTACATTATAAAAAATTATAACTCGTGCCTGAATCGGTGTCATCTTCCACCTGCGCACCCACAGCCCACTTCACAATGAGGTTTTCCTGTCCAGAATTCATCCCTTAGAAATAGTGTAGGCCTAAATAGTCACACTATTCTTCACTTCACCTTCGACCCGATGATGTTCATCCAGTGGAATCAATGAGAATTCATTCTAAGTTTAAACGTTTCGTTTTTAAGAAATAAAAACAATCATGTGCAAGTACACTGACTCTCTTGAATACATTTTCAATATCATTTTACCAAATCCATCTTAATGATACACATAACTCTTTGATGATCACACGTCACAGACACGAGTTCTTTTGCACGAAGCAGTTATCGGACTTTTTTCTCGTATAAAGCCTTCCAGCTTTCAACACCCGGGTACAATTCCGAAATGCCATGCCTCTTCAGACAAGACAGGACCTCGGCCTCGGGCACGTTGTTCCCAAACGTGATGAACAGCACGCCGCCGTCCTGCGTGGCGCTCTTCATCGAGCGAAGGTGACGCGTCACGTGATCATCCAACGCCGCGTGACCGCTTCCGTCTTTGGCGTAGATGTCGATGACGTACATGAGACCTCGGGTTCCTGGGAAGCGCACTGAAAAAGAGACCATGTCAATCTCTTTGAGGGCGTCCCGGGTCCGCCCACGTTGCGGCGGATCTCCGAGTTGTTGAGCGTGCGATGTCGTTGCAAACACTTCCTTCCGGTCTTCAATGAAGTGACGTATGTTGTCCTCCACGCATCTGTAGCCAATGAAAAAATTCAAGATGCGTTTCTCCGGGAAGAGCTTCTCAACGACATCGTCCATTGAAAAAATATCTCGCATGTCGTCATGGGTCAGCTGGATGACGTGTGTCAGGTCCTTAGGTGTGTCAAGCCCGACCAAATCTTTCACGCTGTACGACAAACTCCGAACGGGCTAAAAAATAAAGTAAAAAAAAAATTAATGGAAATACTATGATCATTTCAATATGATAATATGAGGTGTCAACTAACAATTTGATAATCAAATGTGTCAACTATGAATGTGATAATCCAAGGTGTCAATTATACATGTGATCATCCAGTGTGTTAACTCTGTCAATGTGATCATCCAGTGTGTCAACTGTCAGGGTGATAATCCAAGGTGTCAATTATCCATGTGATCATTCAATGTGCTAATTATCAATTTGATAATCCAGTGTGTCAACTATCAATGTGTAAATCCAAGGTATAAACTATCAATGTAATAATCCAATGTTTCAACTATCATTGTACTAATCCCATGTGTCAACTATCAATGTGATAATTTAATGTGTCAACTATCAACGGGATAATCCAATGTGTCAACTATCAATGTGATAATTTAATGTGTCAACTATCAACGGGATAATCCAATGTGTCAACTATAAATGTGATAATTTAATGTGTTAACATTCAATGTGATAATCCAATGTATCAACATTCAATGTGATAATCCAATGTGTCAAATATCAATGTGATAATACAATGTGTAAGCTATAGGGGTCGCAATCCGGGATCCCTAAATTTGAAAATACCGGACCATATTTGATGTTCGAAAAAACCGGGATTGCATTTATGAAAACCGGGATTGTATTTATGAAAACCGGGATTGTATTTATGAAAACCGGGATTGCATTTATGAAAACCGGGATTGTATTTATGAAAACCGGGATTGTATTTATGAAAACCGGGATTGCATTTATGAAAACCGGGATTGCATTTATGAAAACCCGGATTGTATTTAAGAAAACCGGGATTGTATTTATGAAAACCGGGATTGCATTTATGAAAACCGGGATTGCATTTATGAAAACCGGGATTGTATTTATGAAAACCGGGATTGTATTTATGAAAACCGGGATTGTATTTATGAAAACCGGGATTGTATTTATGAAAACCGGGATTGTATTTATGAAAACCGGGATTGTATTTATGAAAACCGGGATTGTATTTATGAAAACCGGGATTGCATTTATGAAAACCGGGATTGTATTTATGAAAACCGGGATTTTCGATAATCCCGAGATTTCATTTTCAATTTAAAAAAAAAATCGTTTTGCTTAGTTTCCACGTCATAGATATTACAAGACATATCAATAATTTATGAGATTTGCAAACCCCTCACACCACGAGTCTCAAGTTCAAAGAGAGCCGACCGACGGGCTGGATCTGTGTACTCTTATTTGTCAAGAAGCGTAACGTTCTGATTATTATTATTTTTTTTTTTTTACATCGTGCGTGTGTAATGTGTAAGTAGCGAGGAGTCACGACGTGAAGAACAGGATTGGCAATTAAATGTTTTCATATTATTGACAAATAAGTGATTTGTATAGTCGAGTGAAGATCGAGTTTTTACTTCCATTAAGAGTTTGTTTGGAAATAATAACATGTTGCACTCAAATCACAGTGTCAACTTTTAATTATTTTCTTTTGAGTGCTTGTTTTCTTTTAATTATGCCAAAAGACCTACATATTTAAAAAATATATGAGGAAATCCGTATTTTGATAATCAAATGCCTTATGTTTAAGACACAGACAATTATGTTACTTCTATTTTGTGATAACAATATTAATAATTTATATTCACCTCATAATTTATTTTCGAGCTATTTTGACTATTTTGTCCCAGTTTGTCTGTACCGTACCTAGCCAAAATTTACATGACTGAATGTCCCAATTGTTCTGTACCTTACCTAGCCAAAATTTACATGACTGAATGTCCCAATTGTTCTGTACCGTACTTAACCAGACATTTACATGACTGAATGTCCCAACTGTTCTGTACCGTACTTAACCAAACATTTACATGACTGAATGTCCCAATTGTTCTGTACCGTACTTAGCCAAACATTTACATGACTGAATGTCCCAATTGTTCTGTACCGTACTTAACCAAACATTTACATGACTGAATGTCCCAATTGTTCTGTACCGTACTTAACCAAACATTTACATGACTGAATGTCCCAATTGTTCTGTACCGTACTTAACCAAACATTTGCATGGCAATTTAAACATTAAAAAAAAAAGTTTTACACGTCAAACCAATCCGATTGAACTAATAATATTTTGTTAATGATTTATTTTCCCAAGTTGATGGAAAGAAATGGGGACCTCGAAAAAAATAAACTTAAATTTGAAAAGCATATGAAACTATCTGAAACAAAGAACTCAGTTTGGGATCATTTCTTGAAAGCTACGGACAATCTCTCAGCTAAATGTATTAGGTGTAACAAGATACTTAAAACATTGGAAGGTAAAACTTTAGGCCTTGACTCTCATTTAAAGTCTGCACGTTCAAGTGACTAATTATATGTATTTCTAAGGCCAGATTGCGACCAGATTCGAAAACATATCGTGGATATTTAAAAGCTTGTTGAGAAAGCGGATTCCTCGTTGGAAATATCTACGAACAATGAAATTGAACAACTTGGATCTGAGCTTGACGAACTTGACGACATACTGCCGCTTAACAGACAATGAGAAATTGAAATACAAAAGAAACTACAGGCTCAGGATAATGCTCCCAGAGCAACGGTTGAAGACATGGATACATTGGTAAATTTTGAAATGGCTTTATTTGAGAATGGCGAGACAAGAGGAAAATAGCTAGAAATTGCTTATGATAGCCTAAGGTCTATTCCTCCGACCAATGGGGAGTCAGAGCGGGTGTTCTCTTCATCTGGTTACTTTTGCAACCATTTGCGGTCAATGTTGAGTGACCAAACATTAGACACGTTGTCCATCTCACGATCTCATTACTTCAATTGGACAAAAGGTTAAAACAGCACCAATTATTGTAATTTTTTTTATTAATAAAACAATTTAAATAAAAAAGTTAAGAATATTATTTTTTTTAGTTTAAATAAAGTGTGAAGATAAACGCGTGTTTAAAAGCTTATTAGAAATAAAAATGTGATATTTTAATTTTTTTTTTTTTTCATTTTATTGATAAATCCTTACCTGTAATCTCGAATCACGACTAAAAACTCTCTAAATATCGAAAATATTGAAAATACCGGGATTCCGGTATTTGTAAACTTCAATATCGAAAATACCGATTTTGGCAAAAGGGACCGGTTCTGCGACCCCTAATCAGCTATCAATTTGATAATCCAATGTGTCAAATGTCAATGTCATAATCAAATGTATCAAATATCAATGTGATAATCTAATGTGTCAACTATCAATGGGATAATCCAATGTGTCATATATCAATGTGATAATCCAATGTGTCAACTATCAATGTGATAATCCAAAGTGTCAACTATCAATGCGATAATCCAAAGTGTCAACTATCAATGTGATAATCAAATATGTACCTATCAAAGTGATAATCCAATGTCTCTACTATCAATGTGATAATCCAATGTGTCAAATATCAATGTGATAATTCAAAGTGTCAATTATCAATGTGATAATCCAGTGTGTCAACATTCAATTTGATAAACCAAGGTGTCCACTATCAATGTGATAATCCAATGTGTCAAATATCAATGTGATAATCCAATGTGTTAAATATCAATGTGATAATCCAATGTGTCAAATATCAATGTGATAATCCAATGTCTTACCTATCAATGTGATAATCCAATGTGTCAAATATCAATGTGATAATCCAATGTGTCAACTATCAATGTAATAATCTAGTGTGTCAAATATTAATGTGATAATCCAATGTTTAAACTATCAATGTGATAATCCAATTTGTAAATTATCAATGTGATAATTCAATGTGTCAACTATCAATGGGATAATCCAATGTGTCAAATATCAATGTGATAATCCAATGTGTTAAATATCAATGTGATAATCCACTGTGTCAACTATCAATGTGATAATCCAATGTGTACCTATCCAAGTGATAATCCAATGTGTACCTATCAATGTGATAATCCAATGTGTCAACTATCAAACATTTTCAATGTAATGAATCTATTTGTCAACTATCGATGTAATAATCCAATTTTTCAACTGTCAATGTGATAATCAAATGTGTCAACTATCAATGTGTCAACTATCAATGTAATCACCCAATGTGTTAACTTTCTATGCAAGCTTATTGAATTCATGTAACATTTTTTCCTTCTATAAATTGATAACATTAGTTATCATATCTGTCTTTGGTATAAAATACACATGTCAGTGTAAAAACTGAAGGTATATTGTTCTATTTTCATTTTTTGATAACAACCCATAAAAATAACAATATCTATGGCTGAGATATGAAGTTGCGCTTCTTGCATCAACTATGAACGGAGCCCATATTAAAATTTATAAATAATTGACCTTACCTTTTTAATCACTTCTAGGAATCCCGTTTCTTGGAATTCTTTAACACCCCTCACAGCGGCTGCCTCCCCCGCACATATCAGTCTGTACATCACTCCGGGGTGTCGCTCTTCCACATCCTTGTCTAGTCCGTCTGACATCAAATGGAATATGCCAAGTCCCCTGTAGTCATTGTGGACTCTCCCGTCACGCTTGATGACCGATAGGCCGTTGTCAAGTATGTGATTCATGTAGAAACCAATCTATTGGGGAAATTCCTTTAGACATCAGTGTATTCTTGTCTAATTACAACACAAAATGTCCAGAAAAACAATTTTGCATTATCTAGATGTATATGGTGTAACATTTCCATATATATATAGAGAGAATGAGAGAGATAGAGGGTAAGAGAGATAGAGGGTGAGAGAAAGGGAGAGAGCGACAATGAGGGTGAGAGGGAGGAAGAGAGAGAGGGATGAAGAGAGAAGGGGAGAGATAAATGACGGAGGGAGGAGAGAAAGAAAGATGGATGAAGGGGTAGGGAGGGAGGGAGGAGAGAGAGAGAGAGAGAGGGGGAGAGAGAGAGAGAGAGAAAGAGAGAGAGAGAGAGAGAGAGAAATTAAAAACATACATAGAATTTTCATAACTAAAATAAGATTTTATTTTATTCTATAACGTTTTCCCATATGAGGGAGGAAGAGAGAGAGGGAGGAAGAGAGAAGGGGAGAGATAAAGGACGGAGGGAGGAGAGAAAGAAAGATGGATGAAGGGGTAGGGAGGGAGGGAGGAGAGAGAGAGAGAGAGAGGGGGAGAGAGAGAGAGAGAGAAAGAGAGAGAGAGAGGGAGAGAGAGAGAGAGCGAGAAGTGTGCAAAAACATAACTTTATTTTATTTTAGAAAGGGGTGAAAGTCTTGTGTATGATTTAGCCAAGAGAAGTAAAACAGGGAATATCAATACAATTAAGAAGATTTGATACATTTGTGTCACATGTGGTACACACTTGAATACAGAAGAAACAGTTAAAATGTACCTGGATACATTATATCTCAACATAATCTAAGATTTTACACGTTTAGTGGTTCGTCTTGAACCGATAAATTTGACGTAATTGCACTGATAAAGCCAGGTTTCATGCCTCTCTATAAAATGACAGTCTCCGTGTGCGTCACGGACGCCTTCAACATTGGGCATACAAAGTTGGGAAAGCTCTAAAAAAGACATATCATTTTTTTGTGTATGCAAGGTGAAGACAACCAAATTAAATTAACTGCTGGACGTTGAAAATGAATTCTTTCCCGCACAAATCAGAGGGAAAAAAAAGTATAAAATTAACAGCCCATATTATGACCCCCATTGAGATTCACGCCTGACACCTGGACATATTTTCATGGGAATGTATGCTGTTAATTTTCTTAATCGTGACCAACAATTTAAAAAAAAAGTGTTTGGCTGCATAACTTTATCATGTCATATTTTCGGTTAACAAGATTGCAGTTGTGAGTCGATGATTCTCCAAAGGCGAGGCCGGGGCAGGCCAAGGCTTTTGCCGTCCCTTTCCGCAAATTATAATTTTTTTCAGTTGGTCCAACATGCCACCCCCTCAGTATAAAGAAAAAAGTGCCTCGCTAGGTGGACCCCTCTCCCCCCGTGGACCTCTCTCCCCCCAGGTGGACCCCTCTCCCCCAGGTGGATCCCCTCTCCCCCAGATGGACCCCCTCTCCCCCAACGCCACTGTGATGGGTCCCTCAATTTTTACTTCAAGCAATTTAAAAAGTAAAAAAAAAAAACCAAAAAAAAAATAAAAAAATCACACGTTTTCTGAAGATTTGGTGCTTATTTCTAGGAAACAGATCGGATGTATTAAAACTTACCACGTGACCAACAGCTTCTGCCACTAAGGGGTATATGTCCGGGTCCTCCAATGCGCACAGAAAAGTTGAAGGGAGGTAATCCCTGCCGCAGTACACATCTCCGATACTCATGACGTCGTCATAATCCTCTCTCCGGGCCCGCCGGATAATCACGTCCGGAAGCGTCATTTCCTTTTTCAAGTCGTTGGTGGACATTTCGGAAACTGAAGAAAAAGAATACGAATTCTTTGAGACTCATTTATCAAGCTTCTCAACGACAAGACTATACACTAGCGCCATTTTTTTTTTTAAGAAAGAAAGGTATTTTGTTTTACAAAACAAATGGATGAGGAAAAAGTTCCACCAAAATGACGTAAGCGAAGCAGTCCGATGACTCACCTATGAAATAAAGCAAGCTAACAGTGAGTGTGTGACAGAGACTATGTGACAACGAATGTGACAGTGACTGTGTGACAGTGACTGTGTGAAATCGACTGTGTGAAAGAGAATGTGTGACAGAGACTGTGTGACAGAGAATGTGTGACAGAGACTGTGTGACAGTGATTGTGTGACAGAGACTGTGGGACAGAGACTGTGGGACAGAGACTGTGGGACAGAGACTGTATGACAGAGACTGTGTGACAGATAAGTGTGTGACTGAGACAGTTTGTCAAAGACTGTGTGACAGTGACTGTGTGACAGTGACTGTTTGACAGAGACTGTGTGACAGAGACTCTGTGACAGAGACTATGTGACAGAGACTGTGTGACAGAGACTGCGTCACAGAGACTATTTGAAAGAGACTGCGTGACATAGAATGCGTGACAGAGACTGTGTAACAGAGACTGTGTGACAGAGACTGTGTGACAGAGACTGTGTGACAGCGACTGTGTGACAGAGACTGTATGACAGAGAATGCATGACATAGACTGTGTGACAGAGACTGTGTGACAGAAACTGTGCTACACTGACTGTGTGACAGAGACTGTGTGATAGAGACTGTGTGACAGAGACTGTGTGACGAAGACTGTGTGTCAGAGACTGTGTGACAGAGACTGTGTCACAGAGAATGTGTGAAAGACACTGTGTGAAAGAGACTGTGTAAAGGAGATTGTGTGACAGAGACTGTAGGACAGAGACTGTGTAACAGAGACTGTGTCACAGAGACTATTGGAGATAAAGCACGAGTTTCTCTTGACAAGCCACCGTGTATGGTTGGGAAGGAATCAAAGACAAAAGCAACTATGAAATATTCATTTGTGATTCTCAAACTTTTTATTTGCACCGGCCCCTGGGACCCATAAACTCAACCTCAGTGCACTTCGTCATCCAGTTCTTAAAATAATAATTTGCACTACTCTCAAATCATGATAATTACACCATTCAATAAAAAAAGTGTAACTTAATTTCTGTTCATAGAAAAAAGCAAGCAAGACCTGCTATGATTTTATTGACACAATGTGAAGCTAATTATCTGTGATCAAAGCTAGTCTCACCAAAAGGTAATAATTTAGCATGAGTTTTATCTATCTAATATTGTCACTAGCCAAGTACACTTAAATCTATTGGAAGATTTGTATTAGCAACGCCTCATCACTGAATTAGCCGCACATCCTCTCTGTATTAGCAGACCCTCCTCACTGAATTAGCCTCACTTCCTCTCTGTATTAGTAACGCCACATCACTGAATTAGACTCACTTCCTCTCTGTATTAGTAACGCCTCATCACTGAATTAGCCTCACATCCTCTCTGTATTAGTAACGCCTCATCACTAAATTAGCCTCACATCCTCTCTGTATTAGAAACGCCTCCTCACAGAATTAGAGGCACTTCCTCTCTGTATTAGAAACTCCTCCTCACTGAATTAGACTCACTTCCTCTCTGTATTAGAAACGCCTCCTCACTGAATTAGACTCACTTCCTCTCTGTATTGGAAACGCCTCCTCACTGAATTAGACTCACTTCCTCTCTGTATTAGTAACGCCTCCTCACTGAATTAGACTCACTTCCTCTCTGTATTAGCAACGCCTCCTCACTGAATTAGCCTCACTTCCTCTCTGTATTGGAAACGCCTTCTCACAGAATTAGACTCACTTCCTCTCTGTATTAGAAACGCCTCCTCACTGAATTAGACTCACTTCCTCTCTGTATTAGAAACGCCTCCTCACTGAATTAGACTCACTTCCTCTCTGTATTAGAAACGCCTCCTCACTGAATTAGACTCACTTCCTCTCTGTATTAGAAACGCCTCCTCACTGAATTAGACTCACTTCCTCTCTGTATTAGAAACGCCTCCTCACTGAATTAGACTCACTTCCTCTCTGTATTAGAAACGCCTCCTCACAGAATTAGACTCACTTCCTCTCTGTATTAGAAACGCCTTCTCACTGAATTAGACTCACTTCCTCTCTGTATTAGAAACGCCTCCTCACAGAATTAGACTCACTTCCTCTCTGTATTAGAAACGCCTCCTCACTGAATTAGCCTCACTTCCTCTCTGTATTAGAAACGCCTCCTCACTGAATTAGACTCACTTCCTCTCTGTATTAGAAACGCCTCCTCACTGAATTAGCCTCACTTCCTCTCTGTATTAGAAACGCCTCCTCACTGAATTAGACTCACTTCCTCTCTGTATTAGAAACGCCTCCTCACTGAATTAGCCTCACTTCCTCTTTGCATTAGAAACGCCTCCTCACAGAATTAGACTCACTTCCTCTCTGTATTAGAAACGCCTCCTCACTGAATTAGACTCACTTCCTCTCTGTATTAGAAACGCCTCCTCACTAAATTAGCCTCACTTCCTCTCTGTATTAGAAACGCCTCCTCACTGAATTAGCCTCACTTCCTCTCTGCATTTGCCACACTTCCTCCCCTCACTATGCGAATTATTAAATTGAATTTACCAATCGTCGATATACATATTTATATATATATTTAATCTATCATCCCTAGCGCTATTTTATCTTATGTGTTATATCCATAATGATGCAAAGATCCTGCATCTTAACATGCTCTTCTAGCTCAGAGTGGCTTGGACGTTTTTATGACTCGAGATTACCAATATTGCATATTTAAAAAAAAAATAATTATTAAAGCCAACTTAAGAAGCTTGGGGATTCAGTGCTAGAAGAAGCAGATGATCCCTCGAACGTCTGTTGTCAGCAACTAACACACAAAACGTTCACAGTTCTCAGGACGCATGGCCAGGAACATCCAATCAACGAGAGCGTTGGAATACATTTTAACGCACGGCAGTTATAGTGAAGGTTTCTAAGCAGTCAAAAAAAACAACAACTTTTTTTAGCTACCAGATTGTACCGACAACCGGACGAGTCTGCCCAAGTTATTACTTGTCATTGCATTGATGGTGGTCCGTCTTGAAATATTCACCCACCATATCAATTTTTGGTTTTACCTATTTTGAAAAAAAATCTATAAATAGACGTGATCAAGACTTTTTACCGGTTTCAAAACTTACAAAGAGCGAGGGAAAAAGAAAGTGTTCCCCAAGTCCAATCCTTCAGTTATAATGGAAACTTGGTTGACCGGCTGCGTGAACACACTTATTCTTTATGTAAGACTCAAGCCTTCTTAAAACTTACCGTCATGATTTTGAAATGTTTTCTGTTTTAAGATTTTGATCGTAGAATAAACAATACGTAACCAAAAACAGAGGAGAAAAAAACAATATGCAAAGAGATCGCTACCAACACTAGCGACACTAACAATAACTCATTTAATTATACTAATTCAAAAACAGAAAAAAAAAACCGGTATGAGCTTACAGTAAATGGAAATGTTGCACTCGTCAAAAATACAAATATTAGTTTACACACACAAGTATATAACGTCCCCTATAGCGGACATCTCTGCCTCGCTCTGTCTTTTCGGCTCTTTTCTGTCGGTGATAAGAAACCTGGCGGGCTTTGTATAGCGGGGTCTGTCAGAACGATCTAGTAAAGGAATTCTAGAAATGGCGTCACCTTATTGCATTTTTTTAGCAGAAACGGAACGCATTCGAACGTAAACAACCTATTCCCAATCAAAGGAAAATGGGTTGTTATGGGATGAAACATTTACTCGGTGACGCCAGTATCAAGGCCATGCTGACAGAGAGAAAAGTGGTGGTGGCTAAAAATAGCTCTACACAAATGCTACTTTAGTGTCTACACTGGTGCAGAAAAGCGATGGGGACAATCGATAGCAGTACATACCCCCACCTTTTTTTTTTAGAGATGCAGTTTTAACTGTAAGCGTAATCCCGAAATAATTCCCTAGCGCCGCCTTTGGCAGTCCCGTTTTCAATATCACAAGTCTTCCAGCACCTCCCTGGATACTCACACCACCGACGAGCAGTGGGGGCGATACTTACCACTTTAAGAACTGCTCCTAGCAAACCTTAATGGTCACTAATTAATTTGTTCTTGTCACTAAAGGAATTAATTAATAGCTCATTTCTACGCTAGAGAAACACGTTAGACGTCTTTTGTTTCAATTGTTGTCATTGCAAAATCTTGTCTTGGTTAAAATATGTATTGATTTATATGCATGAAATGAAAATGCATATTGTAATTTTTTCTAAAAAATCCATTTATTTAGATCAATATATGATTCTTATCTACTCTTATCTTAGCATAGTTAATTTGTTTTAGAAATTACAATGACCTTTCACAAAAAAAAAAAAATACAAAGAAAACAAACCAATAGAAAAAAAATTTCAACCAAAAAGAAACATAATAAATAAGACCAAAACTAACCATGAAAATCAGACCTTGACAACTTCATTCCCATAAAGACGCTGACCTATTTTGTGGCTAGTTACACTGACTTTCTTTGTGGGTATTTACAGTGACCTACTTTGTAGGTAGTTACGCTGACCTACTTTGTGGGTTGTTAAACTTTGAACCCAATTATAATTAACAACTACGAACATTTAAGTTCTTAAAATCTCTAAACAGAATTGCCCTTCAATCCCAGTTGAACACGTGATGATGGCGGGTAGTCGGGTGAGAGTTCATAAAGTCACGTGGTTGTTTGATGACATGGAACATTGTTGTCTGGCACGACACTACGACACTCTTGAGGCGTGTCTGTGCTACAGCAGACACCACATAAATGTCCTATAGTCAAGAACACAGAAATGTCTTATAGTCAGGAACACAGAAATGTCTTATAGTAAAAAACACAGAAATGTCTTATAGTAAAGAACACAGAAATGTCTTATAGTCAAGAACACAGAAATGTCTTATAGTTAGGAACACAGAAATGTCTTACAGTAAAGAACACATAAATGTCTTATAGTCAAGAACATAGAAATGTGCTAACGTAAATTACAAAGGAATGTGCTATAGTAAATAAAACACAAAAGTGCTAAAGTAAACGACACAGGAATGTGCTATAGTAAAACAGCACATACATGTGCTAAAGTAAACAACAGAGAACTGTACTTGAGCTGTTAACATAATGTGCATTGTTTTGTATGATCTTTGAAATGTATACGAGTCTTACTAGGCGGCTCACCGCCTGCATAAATATTCATCACTTTCACAAATTGCATTTGAAGCTACCGACTAATACACGATTGAGACTACATGAGAGAACACTACAGTCCCTTCGAGTTGGTTGAAACTCAGGTTAGATTTATAACGTATCCTTGCTAAA